AAATAAAACAGTATGGTACTGACATAAAAGTAGCCACATAGATCAGTGGAACAGAATAAAAAGCCCAGAAATAAACCCATAATTATATGGTCAATTAATCTTTGACAAAAGAGAAAGATAAACAATTAGAAAAAGACAGTCTCCTCAACAAATGGTGTTGGGAAAATTGGACATATACATGCAAAATAATGAAACTGGACCACTTTTTTACACCATACACAAAAATAAACTCAAAATGGATTAAAGAACTAAATGTGAGACTTGAAGCCATAAAAATCCTTGAAGAAAACATAGTAATGTCTCTGACATTGACTATAGCAACATCTTTCTAGGTATATCCCCTAAGGCAAGGGAAATAAAAGGAAAAAAAAAACTATTGGGACAACATTAAAATAAAAAGCTGCTGCAGAGTGAAGGAAACAATCAATAAAATTAAAAGGCAACTTATGGAATGGGAGAAGATATTGGCAAATGACATATCCAATAAAGGGTTAATATCTAAAAATATATAAATTATAAAACTCAACACACAAAAAATGAATAATCCAATTAAAAATGGGCAGAAGACATGATCAGACATTTCCCCAAACAAGGCATCCAGATAGCCAACATACACATGAAAAGATGCTGAACATCACCCATCGGCAGGGAAATACAAATCAAAACTACAATGTGATATCACCTCACACCTGTCAGAATGACTTAAAAAAAAAAAAAACACAAGAATTGATGAGGATGTGGAGAAAAAAGAATCCTCTTGCACGGTTGGTGGGAATGCAAACTAGTGTGGCCACTGTGGAAAAGAGCATGGAGGGTCCTTAAAAAATTAAAACAGAACTACTCTATGATCCGCTAATTGGACTGGTGGGTATTTACCCCCAAAATCCAAAAACACTAATTCAAAGGGATACATGCACCTGTATGTTTATTGTAGCATTATTTACAATAGCCAAATTATGAAAAGAGCCCAAGTGTCCATCAGCTGATGAATGGATAAAGAAGATGGTGGTATGTATATACAATGGAATATTATTCAGCCATAAGAATGAATCAAGATTCATTCTCTTGCCATTTGCAGTGACATGGATGGAGTTACAGAGTATAATGCTAAGCAAAATAAGAGACATATGCCATATGATTTCATCATATGTGGAATTTAAGAAACAAAACAAACAGGCAAAGGAAAAAAAAGACAAACCAAGAAACAGACTCTTCCCTATAGGGAACAAACTGATGGTTACCAGAGGGGAGGTGGATGAAATATGTGATGGGGATTAAAGAGTACACTTACCATGATGGAAAAAGAAATGAACTATCACAAGCCATGATTAATGAACTGTTTATAACTGAAAAACTCTGATAAAAGTTGACAAAATGAGCAGGTTCAGTAAACGTACTAAAAGTTGATGGCCCGTACCTAGATAATTGAGTACTTTTATCCTTAGAAAATGGATTTTAGCCATTTGAATGTGACACAGTAAATGAACCCATTAGGATTCTCATATATGGAATCATTGCCTACCCAAAAAGATCTGAAACATACTTTTGAATTGGCCAGTCATTTTCTAGTGTACAGGTTCCAGAAAAATGAGGTTTTGTTTTGTTGTTGTTTTTAATTTTTTCTATTGTTTTATTTTCCTTAGTTTACTTTGGATTTCTGTTTTTTTGCTTTTCTCAGGTGTATTTCATTAAAGGATAATATACATATAGAAATGTGTTTCACAGGTATACAACTCAGTGAAATTTCACAAATTGAATACACCCAGGTATCCAGCACCCAGATTAAGACATAGGACATCTCCAGTCCTTGAGAATCCACCATCATAGTCCCTTCCAGTCAATAGGTGCCTACCCTCCAAAACTGTTGGAAGATAATTATCATGGGACTCTGATGTTTCTGCACTTTTGGAAGCAGAAACACTAACTGCCTTTGTTCAGAGTATCTTTTCAAGGATATCCATGAATAGCCTTGGAAGACAGAAATGGTGTTTCCCTCCAGAGCAAAGGGCAGGTTTGCTTACAGCCTTGAAAAAGTAGAGATTGTGTCTCCTATGGAGCAAAGTATAGGTTTCCTTGCTGTTCAGTATAATAAAGATAATGTCTGCCTTCAAAGCAAAGGGCAGACATGCTTAATTCCCATTATAAAGGATTCACTTTCCTTCAGCCCAGGGTTCCTCTCTTCTAACGCAGCCCACTGTGTGTGCAGGTGTCACGTGGCTTTCTTCATGCTGCAGATTAAGAATTAGGGCTCAAGAGACTGGTGGAAATACTGACACTGGCTGTTGAGCTGTAAGGTCCTTTGTCTCTGACTCAGCATCTGCTAACTGGGCAGGATAATGTGCTAAGTTTGTAAGTAGGGGGTCAGATACCAGAATCTTCACTGTTCTTGATAGTGATGACTGTTTGAACTTCTACCACCATAGATCAAGTTCACCTGTTCTTAAACTTCATATAGAAATGGAATTATATAGTACGTACTTGAGTCTGGCTTCTTCTATCCAACATCATATTGTGAGATTGTTTCATATTACTACATGTAGGCATAGTTCTTTATTTCTCACAGTATTCCATGGTGTGAATATTTAAAACTTGTTTATTTTTTCAGCCAGTGGTGAATATTGGGACAGTTCCCAGTGTTAGCTAGAATTGTGCTGTTAAAAACATTTCTATGCATGTCTTTGTGAATACATATATGCATTTCTGTTGGGAATATTCCCAGAGCTGGATCAGAGGGTGTGCATAGAGACTGCCAAACAGTTGTCTAAAGTATTCGTATCAGGCTACTCTTCTACCATTCTGGTTTCTCTGTGTACTTTCCACCCTTGTTATTTTCCATCTTTTTAGTTTAACTGTTTTTTCAGGCTGACATGCTTTGATTTTGCCATAATGTGTATAAATAAAGATAAATATGCCAATGGTACCCTTCCAATTTTACAGAGAAATCTCACAAGTCATTTTGCTATTTAGAAAAAGAGATACATCAATGACTAAGTTGTTACCAGGGTAAATTGTCAAGACAATCAAAGCCACAAATTTTTTGTTAGGGAATTTTTCCATGAAGACAACAATTTCTGAAGTCTTCAGCTTCTGACAAGACCAAGTTATTCAAATTGCATTTCTAAAGGTAGGTTTAACAGAAACAAGGTGAAAACTGTTAAGAATATTCACAGAACTCTCCATGGTATACAGGAAAGAGATGGATATTCTTCCAGATGTTCCCAATTGAAAATAAAACAAAATCTCTACTGCCAAATCTTCCCAGTAAGCAGAAGCAGAGAAAGTAATAGATTTTACTAAATACGAGTGAAATTAAGGGCACAGTAGTATTGTATTAATCTTCCACGTAAAAAAGATCACATGAAAACAAGAGAGAAAACAGTCGACATGGCACTGTTTTTCTTTAGAAAACCCTTTGCGAGGCAACAGAGTTAACGCTTCAGCAACCTGCAGTTCTCCCAGGCCAGTCCTGAGAACAGTATTCCTCCTCCTATCACCACTCCCAGAGCACATTGTTCTTGCAGGCTCACAGTCGACCCAGTCTTAATTTTGGGCCCTGCATTTCAGGCTCAGTCCTGCATCTGGCCTTTTGTTCAGTTTTCCCTGCTAAGGGCACCAACCACAATCTCTTTGGTTCCTTTCATCCATTCTGAACTGGAAACACCTTTCTTTCCCTGTGGACTGGTCTTCCTTTGAGCCCTGTAGTCATTGCTAAGGGAGGGAGGGATTGGAAGAGCACAGAGGGGCAATAAGAGCTCCAGATGTTTCCTTGAAAGGACGCCCGCTCTGCCTCTGGAGATGACAAGGGAGCTAGATTAAACTAAAGAGCCTGCTTCTGCAGATGAGTCTGGGCTACCTTTTTTTTTTGTTTTTGTTTTTGTTTTTGAGGAGGGGCTACTACTTTTAAAAAGAGGTAGAAGAGATATGAAAGAGGGATGAGAAACGGGGAGAGGAGGAGGAGAAAGAGAAAGTGTACACCACCCTGGCACCTCTGACACTTGATCATGTTGAGGACGAAGAAAGGCGAATCAGAGTCCCTACATTTTGTATGAATTCACTGGGCAAGGCTAAGAAAGCCTAGTACTTTCTCACCAAAGACATTACCGTTATCCTTGCCGTGTGAATTGGCTCTAACTTGTTCACTCAACCACAGCTGGGCAGCCAGTAGTGCCAGAGTGATGGTCGTGGTGGTATGGAATTAAGGTCTTTGAGGGGAGGAATAGGAATGCCTTTTCTGGGCTGGTGGGGAACCTGGGTCTACCAACACTTCTGAAGATCAGGGTTGATCAAAAACCAGAAAGTGGAGCTGACAGTGGTCTGGAAAATGTACATCCATCAGGCAGCAGCCCAAGGGGGTTGTATAGCCAGGAGCAGGCAGCACTCAGGGACTGGAAGGGCAGGAAGATCAATGGAGTTGGATACATCACATAGGCCCAAGTGGCACACTGCCGTTCACCCTGGGCTTGATTAATGCCCAGCAGTTGTCCACAGTGATAAGCAGAGTGTGTCAAACAGGCTCCTGAGGACACGTGATGTCATGAGCACTGGGTGTTACTAAGACTGAATTACTGACCTCTATCTCTGAAACTAATAATACATTTTATGTTGATTGAATTTAAAATAAAAAATTCATTAAAATTAAAAAAAAAAACAAACACAAAACACAGGCTCCTGAATATAGCTAGAAATCCAGGTGGTAGTAATCAGAGTAGAGGTCCTGGGAACAAGCAGGGTGCAAGCATTGTAGATAAAGACAGTGCAATTTATAGCATCATTTGTTTGACTTAGAAGAGTGTGAACCGTGCCGCAGAGCATGTGATGTTAATGCAGAACAGCCATGAAGATCTCAATCCTGCAGTTGAGAGAGTAAGTGTTCAAAGGAAGGAGGGTGCAGAAAGATCAGCACACAAAGAGTAATAGGCATACCCAGTTCTGTTGCCAAGGCACAGGTCCATCAGGAAGTGGTAGGGGATCTTGTATGGGAGTACTTCCAAGGGCAGAGGTTAACCAGATTGGAACCCAAAGGGATCCCCATTGGCTTCCTTATCTGGCAGAGTCTAACTCTATGGGCCCCTTCACACAATAGGCAGTATTCAAGTGGATTTGGTCAGATGTCCTCTTTGATAATCTCAGCAATTGTGTCAGGCTCTGGAAGGTTGTGGTCTGAAAACCAACTGAGGAAGCTGCAGGTGACGTCTCGATTCCTATCAATGAAAGACTAGAGTTCATGGCCTGGGTGCCCTATGATTGGAGTGGCAAGAGACTCCACTTGGTCGGATGATCTGACCTCATATTCCTCGACAATCTGCTTGTTTCTGCACTGTGGGTTTCTTTGAAAGAACTAGAACTTGAAGCCCACACTAGGGTGTCTCCAAATTGGCTATGTACCTTAACATGTCTGCTGCTTGGCCTCTAATCAGGGTGGACAGCTATCGGTGGTTCCAAAAGGCACTGACTCAGAAGCTGGGGATATTCTGAACCATGCATTTCCTCCGCTCTAGGAAGTGTTGACGTACCTGGCCACACTTGTGCTGTAACTGTAGTACGGCTCTGTCAACCTGAGCATTCAGTCTCCACTTCCAGCTGGATGGCCTCCAGGGAGCTCACGTGGACATCCACGTTCAGGGACCAGGGACCTTCCTTGACCTTCACCTCATTTACCACCTTATTTTCCTTCACCACTTCCATTTCTTTACCTCCTGGCTTCTGCTCCACCACTTCCGCCCCCTCCTTCTCATCTACTGCTCCTGGGAAGATGGCACACCCTCAGTCTTTATTTCCTTGGCCTTTGCCCCAGTCATCACTTCAGACCCCAGCCTCCCCGAGCCCTGGATTTCTAGGCCCTTGTTCCCAACAGGGCCATGTGGCTCTTCACACTGACAGCCATTTTTTCAGGCTGCTAGCAATTGCCCAGAGGCTGCTTCCAGGCTCTCCATGGGTCAGTCTCATGACCGTCTGTTTCCATAAACTCTGTCATCCTTTTTATTTGCTTGTCGGTGTGTGGTGGTATCACATGGTGGTTTTAAGTTGCATTTACCTAATGTGTAACAAAGTGAAAACCTTTTCATGTGTTTTGGGGCCATTTTGATATCCCCTTTTTGAAGTGTCTGAGTCTTCTCTCCATTTTTCTATTGAGTATTCCATATTTTTCATATTGATTTGTAGGAATCCGTTATAAGTGCTAGATGCAAATCTGTTTTCAGAAAGGTGTCTTGCAAATATCGTCTCCCTTTCTGAGTTGCTTTTCTCTGTATTAATGATGTCTTTGGATGAACAAAAGTTGTAAATTGTAATGTGTTCCAATTTATCATTTTCCCCTTGAGATTAGGGCTCTTTGTGCTGTTTAAGAAATCTTCCCTCTCCAAGATCTTTCACTTTTATATCTACAATCGATCTGAAATTGGCTTTTGTGAATGGTATGAGAGGAGTCAAGATTTGTTTTTTCCATATCACTATTGAATTGACCAGACACTGTCTATTGAAAAGACCATCACTTCCCCATGCATTAAATGTTTCCATCAAAAGTGGCATGTGGCATATGTCATTGGCCAGAGCCAGTCAGATGGCCTTGCCTAGCTTCAAAAGGTCAGGTAAGTGTTACCATCCCCTGAGCCTGGACGAAGGAAACTAGAAGTACTGGTGAGCACTATATCACTCATCAAAGTGTATAACTTGAGTAATGTGTAAAAGACCAGCAGAGTTAGGCCAAAGAATGTAAAGAAAAGGTAATGAGGAATGTAAGAAGAGAAAAATGAATGATAATAGAGTATGTTAACCAAAGATTAACAGTAAAGGGAGAGAGAATAAGTTAACAGTATTTGGAATGAAAAATATAATCATAAGTTAGATCTTTAGTAGTGATCTAAAGAAATATGAGAGAGCATGTTGGACAGCTTTTATGCCAGTGCATTTTCAAACCAGGATGAAATATATTCATGGCATGTATAACTTATTAACACTGAAATACAGTACAAAACCTAAATAGACATAGAAACAATAAATAAATTGAATCAAGAGTTTGAAAATAATCTTACCACAAAAACAGCATGAGGCTGAAATGGTCTTGAGACAAATACTACCATACTTTTAAGGAATACATAACCTACTGAACATTATTTATTGTGTACCTGTGGTATACCTGGCACTCTTCTAGGCCCTTAGGATATACTGGTAAATAGAACAAAGATTTCTTCCCTCTTGGAGTTTGTAACAGAGGAGAAAGACAATGAATAACAAGTAAACAGTAAATCATACCAGAAAGTGATGAATGCTAAGGAAAAGAAACAGTAAGAGTTGAGTAAGTTGAATGAAGGTTCTGGGGTTGGGAGTGGAGGTAGTAGTTTTAAATAGGGTGGTCAGAGGAAGCCTCGTTGAAAAGGTAAGATTTTGGCAAAGATTCAAATATGAGAGAATTAGTTAGTGGATATTCTAGAGAAGAGCATTCTAGGAAGAGAGAAGAGCTAAGCAGAGGCACTAAGATGGGAGCATGTCTAGGGTGTTTGAGAAATAACAAGGAGATCAGTGTGATTGGAGCACACTGAATGAGAGAGGCCAGATCAAGTAGGGTCTAATATGATACTATAAGATGTTTGGCTTCTGCTCTTAGTGAAATGGAAAGCCATTTCAGGATTTTGAACAGAGAACTCAGAATCCAACTTAGGTTTTACATGGATCGCTGTGGCTCTTGCATGAGGAATAGATTGGATGGGGGCAGTAGTAGATGTAGGGAGACCTTTTGGAAGGCTATCAAAGTAATCCAGGTGAAAGAAATTTTCCAGATCAAGTGGTAGCAAGGGATGCGGATGGTAGATGCAGTATAATGGTATAGGGAAATGAATTGGATAGGGAAAATAAGAAAAAGAAGTCAAGGATGACTCCATGGATTTTGACCTCAGTAGCTGGTAAGATGGAATTGCCAGAAGCAGAGAGGGGAAGGTCGTGATGGAGCAAATCTCCACAGGAGAATCAGAAGTTTGCTTCTGGTTGAGTTAAATTTAAAATCACTGTTGAACAACAGAGTTGAGATAGGCATTAGGAATTTGGAGCTCACAAGAGGTCTGGGACAGGGCTACATATTTGGGAATAATCAGCATACATGATATTTAAAGCCGTAGAGCTGGATGAAATCACCAAGGATGTGAGTATTGATAGACTAAGCCCTGGGGCCTCCAAAATTACACAGTCAAGGAGAAGACTAAGGAGAGATCAGCGAGGTAGGAGGGAATATGAGAGTGTGCAATGTGCTGGCAGCCAGATGTGTAAAGGCAAGTGTTCCACTGTGTGACATGGTGCTGACAGGTCAAGTAAAATGAAGTCTGAGAATTGACCATTGGATTTTACAACAAAAAGAGTCACTGGTGACTCAGTAAGAGCACTTTCAGTGGAGTAGTGGTGGTTGAAATGGGTTTTAAAAGGAATGAGAGGAAAGAAATTGGAGACAGTGAATATTGACAATCCTTTTGAGGAATTTGCTCCAAAAGGAAATAGAGAAATGGGGTCATCACTTGACAAGAACAGTTTTGAAAGAGTGGGAGGGTGACAGCTTAGCTATAATGGGTTTAAGAGGAAATGGGAAGGGAGAGAGTGAAAGCAGCAAGAACACACGACTCTTGAGGAGTTTTGCTTCAGAGAAGTGGGATGATGGCTGGTGGAGAAAGTGGGTCGAAGAAAATGTTTTTAAAATGGGGCAAAAAGAAGTATGTGTACATGCTGATGTCAGTTATTTAGTAGGGAGCAAAAATTAATGATGTAGGGGAAAGGAAGGAGAATCAGTGGCTAGATGTCCTTGAATAGATAAGAGCAGATGGAATCTGGTACCCAAGTGGAGGAGGAGGCTGTCTATGGGAGCATGACAAGTTCACCCATGGGAACCAGCAGGAAGGCAAAGGATGAGGGTGTGTATGCTGGGCAGTGGGTAGAAGTAGAAGTGGTGGGATCTATGAAATTCTCTTCTGGTTGTTTCAGTGTTGCCAGTCAAGTAGAAAGCAAGATTATCAAGTGAGTGCAGATGAGGCAAGAGGCAGTGGGACTCTGAGGAGAGAGCATCAAGGTCATGAATGTAAAGTGAGGCCCATCAGCCTGCTTGTGAATTTTTCTTCAGCTACATTCAGTGTACAGGCGCAGCATGAGTAAGCAGAGTTAGATTTAGAGCTGAAGCAAGAAGGGCAAGAGAATGATGAGAATAATTGATCTTAGAACCCACAGGGATGAGGGGCAGTGAAACAGTGGCCTGATCAATACACTGGAAGCCCCAGGGAACTGAAGATCACTGGGGCCAAGTACCAGAGTGAGCTAGAAGGATGCCGTAGTGTTCTGGGAGGGGACTGCAAGGGATTGGTCAGAATCCTCACCCTTCCAAGTGGGGCTTGGACAAGGCTGACTGAGGGTGAGGCCATTCCAGGGGAGGAGGTCAATGAAGCAGGAGGCCAGCGAGGGAAGGATCGCTGATGTGTCTATTACAATCACAGAATAAGATCAGAGAGCAGTGAGAAGGAGCCAGGAGCTCAAATCATTAAGAAATGAGGGGAATGAAGTGGGAGTGGCATGAATGCAGGACATTAGGTGATCTAAACTGATGATGGATTTAAAGCTGGGTCTGTATTCCAGGGCCAAGGTAAATTATATAGCAATGCCACCTTTGGCTGAAATCAGTGGGAGAGCAGACACCTTTAAAATTGCATATTAATGTCACAGACCCTGTATTTTACTATTTTTCTTTTTCTCAAAGTGCCTAGAGGAAGGTTACACATACATTAGCTGATCAAAAATAAGGAATGTTTACGTTATTTTTTTTTTAATTGGAAAGTGAGCAGTGATAATACTGAGTTTAGTTTGAAATGTAATTTTCTCTTGGGGTCTCTCATTCTGCTTGTGTCCTAGAGGAGACGGACTAGAAACTACTGAAGAGAACAAAATAGGATTTTAAGTTGGGACTTGAAACATTCTGGCTATATACATACATACATACATACATATATATATTCACACATACATATATATTACTCATCCACACACACATATATATAATTTTTTTTAGAAAGGGGGAATAGAGAGAGAGAATACAAAATATCTGAACCATCTAGTCAACCAGAGGCAGAGACAGAGGTGTGACAAGAGAGGAAGAGGGAACGGGGAGGGATAGAAAGAGAAAAAGGGAAAGAAGAAAAGAAGAAAAATGAGGCAAGAAGGAAGGATGGCTTTTCGGGAGAAGTACAGTGTGACCACAGTTGTGCACAACGTAGAACTGTGAGTGTTTGAGTTCCCTGGGAAACAGGGAAAGCATGCTCTTTTAACAGATAAACTTAAGAGGAGATGAATGAAGAGAGCCTGTGAATTGTATAGTCTTCTTTCTCTTGGACTCTTCAAATCTCAATGAGCAGTTCGTCCTTGTTTTGAAAGGGATCTCTCACTCTTGACTCAATTCTTTAAACAAGTGTGTTTGTCCACTGATTTGGCAGAGCCGTGGTTCCTTGGGCTAGGCCACCCAACATAGAAGGCTGAGGGCCTCAGTACCGTGTTACTTGCTTAAGACTGGAAAGAATGTTGGGTAGAGGAGGGGGGAGCTGCACACTTTGTTCATTTCCTCAGTTTCCCATAGAAAGCGCATGAAACTGTGTTTGCAGAGGGAATGGTGAGAAAGAGGCTTTGCGTGATTAACCAAGTAGCTTTACAGGGAGCAGTTATCTCTCTATGGCCTCTTAGAAAAAGTATATAAATAGAGAGAATTGGAGTGAAAATATTTTCGTTACCAGAGTGTGGGTAATGATTTACTCTGGGAAAGTCAATAATCGTGATTTAACGA